AAACAGTTTCCCTTAATCCCAATTTTTGACAACTTATAAAATAATGAACAATGGTGTACTCTATCAAATGCCTTTTCATAATCAATAAAGGCACAATAGAATCTAGCTCCAAGAGTATAAACATATTTTTCTACAAGGGTATAGAGAACAAAAATATTATTCAAAGTTGATTTACCTTTTTACTGAATTACCTAATGTAGCATTAACTGCTGATTTATGTGATTTACTTGGTCTTGTTTTACTGCCTAATTCAATTTCAATTTTGTAGCTATGTTCTACAAATATGTCTCCCAATTTCAAATCAGTTATCATCACAGCGACATACACAACACATGTAAAATCCATGAAATTAAAACAAACACCACGACCACCGCCCTTTAAATTTCCGATATGAAAAACTATTTCTTTTCATATATTTACAGCTGGTGGATTTTCTCTCAGACAAAGAGATTGCTTCTGTCCATCGAGAACTTGGTCGCTATAGACAAGATGTTGTTCCGAAAATAGAATCAAAATTTGTTTTTTATGAAGAAAAAGGAAATGAAGACAGCATTATTAGACTGGAACAAATGCTTGTACATGATGAGTTTTTCAAGGTAATTATATTTATTTATTGTCAATGACAATCTCATTTATAAAGTGTAGTGTTCCCTCCAAAAAATTTAAACCACTCTAACAAAGAAAAAATTTACATAAATATGCATATTATCACTTACAAAACTCTTATTGTGTGAAGAAAATGTTTGGTTTTCAGCGATTTTGATGTTGCCAATGAATTGCTAAATAATGTAAATAAGTGAAAGAACCGATTAATGTTCAACTTGGGCAGTTTTTGCTAGTGTTCATGATTATTCACGAAGCATTCTTGTTTTATATGCATTTTGCTTTTAAGAAAAAAGCAATAATCTTGCTCATTTCTGTTCCCGTAATCCAACTTTCTAGTGTGTTTGTGATACCATATTTGTGAGAATACGTTGGATATACAAGAAAATCATGTTGAATGAGATCTTTAACTTGTTATTTATTAATAATTTATTTCAATTAATTTAGGATTTAGCAGAGTCACCAGCTTTCAATGGATTAGCTGATTTATTGCTTGGAATGGAATGTGAACCTAATAACATCCAGTTTTTCTCAAAGCCTCCAGGAGGGAAGGACACACCTCCCCACCAAGATGGAAAGTATTTTATGCATGATAAAGGTATAATTACAAAATATTACCTAGGTGGAAGTACCTGGTCTTACTGGATAGTTTTTAGTCCACATCATACACAGTCGTAATGGAATACACGAACATGTTTTTTAGTTTGGTTGACCTTTGACTGGCTAATGACCAGTTTTGTCCTAAAACACTAAAAATCAACTTTTTATCAGGCATGCCTGGGCAACACGGCATGAACGTCATACATTGTAGTTACTAGTGCACTTCTGATTCAAAATGGCCGTCTTGTGGCCATGTTGGTTTCATTTTAATTCATCTTTAACCATTTCACAGACATGATTTGACAAATTCATGCACATTTCTATAAATTTGTCATCAACTGTTAATTTCTCTGGTGTGCCTAGTCAAGGATTATCTTACAGTGGGTTTTTGCAATTTGATTTAAAATTGGCATGTCCTACCTTGATTCAGAAGGGTGCTATTACGATCAGATTCAATGTCTACTGGTATGTTGTTTTTTCTAATATTTGGATGCAACCATTCCTACATGTGGACTAGACAAATTCCATATGAATGAAGCGTAATTTCTCAGATCAAACATACATCTACCGTACTTTCTCTATTAGCTGTGTATGCATTCATGTAAATTAGAGGTATTTCTATGGTCAGAATAAGTAACATTTTAAGGATTCAGTATGCAACAAATGCCATTTTTGGTTGGACTTCTATTTGAAATTATATTTGTATAGGAAATGACATGCTTTTTACGGTAAATTGTAAATGAAAGAAAAATTATATTTTGCTTCTTGTTCCAGGGAAAATTGAAAAAATTATATGGTTTTAATTTCTTTTTATGAAATTTATTTAATGCCTTAACAATATGTCAGAGTTGTTACGGGGTAAAGGAAACAATTGTATAATTTGTTAAATATTGAATTCACATTAAATATTAAGTTATATATATGTAGGTTTGACATTTTGGTTAGCATTGGAGGATGCTGATGAGGAAAATGGATGCATGTATTATGTACCTGGCACTCATAAAAGTGGATGTCTGGAACATGTAAAGACAGACATGTTAGGATTCAGTCAGGCTTTGGTTGATTACACAGATGGTATGAAAAATAAAGAAGTTTGTGCTGAAGCTGAAAAAGGTATTCAATGTTTCTAAACTAAGTTGAACAGTGTTGATTTTTTAATTTTAATTATAATTATATAAATTATTCATTCATCATTAGGTACATTGCTAGGTCATCATCCCAACATGGTACATAGAGCCGGTAAAAACAGGTAATTTATTTATGTATAAATTTACAGAAGATTGAAAACGTCCATTCAGTGTGTTGTGGTATTTTTTGCAAAATTAATGCTAGGAAATACCGATAGTAAACTGACAACTAATTGCCATCTATCTATCTATCTGGTGAGATTTTTGCAATTAGTTTTACTGATGAAGTCATGTTTTATTGACTGGCAGGTCAAAATAAGTAATAATTTAATGATTCAGTATACATGTACAAATGTGATTTTTTATTTATATGCACTTCTGATTAAGAGGTAGTAGCTTTATTATCCAAATCAAAAACTTGCAGTATAATTATTAAATTAGTTTATTATTATTATTTTTGACACATTACTAGCTGAAAAAGAGTAAATCTATTTGTCTTCAGGTCTGACATAAGATGGAGACCAGCCATAGGACTGACATACTGGGCTAAAAGCTGTCGAGATGATGAAGAGTTGCACAAGAGACGAGCTGCATATAAAAAAAGCTTATTCCAAGAATTGAAGACAACTGGCAAAATCTGAGCCAGCAAAGCTAAAATACTATGGCTTAAAGTACATATATCTAGCAATATATATTCTAAACAGTCTTAACTATTTCACCATCTGACTTTCTTGCCCAAATTCTCCAGCACTGTTTTCTTATATTCTGCAATATTTCTGGAAATGAACCCTAATTTTAAAGCCAACAGACTAAATTTGAGTAAAACTCTTGTTACTGCCTGTAAATCGGCAATAATGAAGAATCAAAGTTAAGCTCTGCAGAGCTCCTGTATGAATACAGAATACATTCATAATGTATTTACAAAAAAATCTCAAAAATTAAAATTCATAAACAGTTAAGGTGCAGTAAGGTCAAGGGGAGGATCACTGGCAGCATGAATTTATCTATGTAGTAAATTTACTTATAATCTATTGTGGTTCTCAAATTAGATTGAAATAAGAAGATTAATATGAAAATTAACCACTTAATATGCACAGACATGTCCCTAAAACTTAATCTCCGGACAAAGTAAGTTTTTGAGATTTTGCTTACACAGAAACATAGTAGCTACAATTTATTTTGAAACAAACGATTGTAAATAATTTTGAAACAAACGATTGCAAATAATTTTGAAACAAACGATTGCAAATAATTTTGAAACAAACGATTGCAAATAATTTTGAATGGGTGTTAACACGTGTATATATTCACTTTGTTTCAGTAATGGAAATAAATTACAGCCTTATAAATATTTTATTCGTCTTGGTGTTAATACTACCGCATGGTCTGGGGTACAACTCTGAATAAAGTAGAAATAGCGGTCCACATGGATTATACGAAATGGAGTGACGTGCATTTTGTACACACAAAAGATGAGAACACATTTACAAATATGGTCAAATTTTAATTCATAATCTAATTTTAAGACGCATATAAATGACAGACTAATCAATGGAGTCTAAAGTAATGTATTTACAATATAAAAAGATACTAATTGTTCTGCCTGTATTTATTTCATTATCAGAACAGGAAATAATCAGCATGTGAATAGAAACATTTGATTCTCAGAAGTGATTACATCCAAGATGATAAATTAGCATCTAATTTCAGAAAATAAGTAAATTTTTTATTATGTAATTTATGTAAACAATGCTTCAGGAACTAGTTGACATTTGTGTACAACTTGTAGGAACACTGGGTACAGTGTTCATGTGAATTTGTCTACAGCATTCCTTAAAACAAATGTTATGCATAAAGGACCAATGTAAAGTACTAAATTTAGGTCTGAGATCCAATTCCAGAATGGCAGAAATACTTAGCAATAAAATAGCTGCATTAGGCCATTAAATAGGATCACAGTACAAATGCATGCACATGTGTGAAGTTTAAACGTAATTAGCCCAGGTATGTCTCAGATACAGATGTAAGATACAAATGAGTTGCACAGAGGTGAACATGTATGGTAAATACCCATTTCCTGACTATACCACAACAGGGCCTATCAAGACAAGTATTTTGATGAATTTGGGTACTCATTTTTTGGTAAAGTGTGATATAGGTTTGTTATAAACTTTTTTTTTCAAAACTTCTTTATGAGATTCAATGGTCCATGCTATTACACACATACTCTGGTTAAAAGCTGCTGGAACAGCAGAACAACCACTACATTCTAGATCAGATACAGGAAACAGGAAGCTCTACTAGTTGCCATAGAAACCCATGGTTAGCTAGTAGATTGATCCACAAACATCAGCTTTTCGGGAAGATGACTGCAATGGCTAGACATCCAACGCCATGACTTTCTCTTGTCTTTGTCATCAACTATTTTGTATAAATAAATCTTAGTTCACTGTCACTTTTAGTATCTTGATGGTCTGCAGATAAGAGAATAATATTTAATTTACATAAATTGACAAAGCTTGTTATGGCATATAGTCTGTATAGACCACACCATTTACACTGACATAAGGTCATATTCAGTCAAGATGAATACACCATAAATTACTTTTATTTGGTTTGGGGACAGTGCACCCTGACAACCTTGAACTATCTGTAGCTTTGAATTTCTACAGTATTGTGTTTTCAGGATTTTTTTACAACAATTTATATTAAGGTGCTACAGCAGGGCACTGTCTGTGCTACATTTACCGTACTTATCCGGGTAAGAGCCCATGCCTGAACAAACGCCCACCCCCACTTTTGACACAATAAAGAAGTTGAGGTCATATCCGGGCACACGCCCAGGGGGTCTTTTTCTACATACACAAAACAAAAAAAACTATTTTCTATTCGTTGACTGTGGTTGTATTAACAGTTGACTTTCTTGAAGTCTGTCGTGATACTTATAAAAATTGTTAATTGCGTAAAACAAGGCGTGAACGCAAAATAGCTGTGACAGCTTTCTGCCTTCAGGGCAGCGCTTTCACCCTTGATTATTTTCAGAATCATAACAGTCAGCAAGTCTATAAAAATGAATATTAAAGCAGAAACGACAGTTCTCTTTTTGAAATATGTCATGGCCCTAAAAAGGGCCGGCCGTTTGGTTTGTGCTTCCTTAGAAACAATTCAAGCAAATCGTATAAGGAGAGCCGCTAAGCAAGTGTCGCACTCGTTCGGCTTTAGCGTCATCGACAATGAAAACAATGTTGCAATATTGTAGCAACCCGTACCTGGGAGAATGGTTGAAATCACGTTATTTTGGCTTTATAAATATTTGTTGCAGTTTGCGAATCCATAACTGGGGCAAGCAATTTTGCAATGTCACGCCGAAGACTGCCAACTTTTTTACCATCTTTTATCACCGCTATTGCATTTCTGTCATGAAAACTATTCTTCTGTTGTTGGATGAAAAAAAACGTCCTACCGGGGTATTTCAAGTCCACCGTGATACCCATATAGTGAGACATTTCAACCGCCAGAACTTGCTGAATGATAACTTTCACTGTGATAAATAAGTCTCGAGTCTGTTAAGAAAGCAATGTCACGATTTGACCTTTATGATGAAATATTAGTAGTGATGTCATTCTTCGCCAATCAGTAAAGCAGATGCATAAAGGTCAAAGATGATTGCTAGACTGTAAACAAAAGCATCGTGTGCCATCGCAGCAGAGCGATCCCATTTTTCTTGTCTCTTTATTATGATTAGACATGAATAAAAAGTGCCAAGCTGACAGACTGCGAAATCCCTGGATTAAAAGTGCTAAGTCCAAATTGTGTGGGACGATATCGATGAACTTCAGGAATAAGTTGTAGGGATTTTGTTCGACGGCTACAGTGACGCCGACTTGGACATTTGAGGTTTTGAGTTTGACGAAGATGGCAATGAACATACAAATAAAGATCTGAGAAGTTTTTCAAACAGCTATGAATTTTTATAATTTTTACTGTGTAAATTTGTAAATTATTATTGATCTTGTTTGACGGTTGATTCGTAATTTGTCGAGACCGGAAATCATTTTACGCAGTTTAACACCT